AAATTCCTCATTGCCTCTAACTGCCATTTCAACCGATTTATGCGATCCGATAGACATCCTGCAGACATAATCATCAGTAACATGGATACTCTCCCTAATCTCCCACATCCAACAGGAAAAGCACATCACTCCACTAAAGGCCATCTTCGCACCTTAACAATCTATAGATCCAGAAAATAGCACAATCTTACTGCTATAAAATCATTGCTCCAAGCTAACTTAGTACCTATATTTTATATTTTTAAGGTTTAATCAAGAGACAGATCTCAATAAAAACATATAACCAAAAAGAACCCACTCTACTCACAATTATAGATTTAACAAAAAACTCGCCCCTTAGCTGCTCCCCTGCTGTGATCTCCCCACACAGGTTTCTCCAAGGATAGCTGTGAATTTTGCTGTTTGTTTATTTTTCTTAGACAAACTCCAATGTCCAGAGGTACTTAAAAATCAAACTGCAGAGGCAGTAGCTGTGAAGTTTAACTGCTGGGTCAGACAGCAATGTAGGTTTCTTTCTCTGTTGATTCACTTCCCACCATGTGGTCGCTGCCTGACTTACTTCCTCCTTTTTTAAACTGCCATTGTTTTGATCTCTTCCCTCCCCCCCCCCAAAATTTCCAAAACAATGCAACAGCTTATAAAACTGTAATTTTTGCGCCTAGAATTCGAAGAAGTCAGCTCCAACGCTCCAAAACCACAATTGTCTCCTGTCTTCCATCTTGAATTACCCAGAATCCTTTGAAGCACGTTATTGGAAGTACTTCTTTATCTCTCAAGACACTGTAGATGGGCACTGTACTTCAAAGGATAAGCTAACTCCATGCCTGGGGATGAATGGACATGGGACAACGGGTTTAATTCCATTCTCAATTTTTAAAAAATCATGCTTTCTGATGTATTGACCATTGGGGAATTTAACAGGAAATGCAAGCAGGTGTGCACTATTTTTAATACATTAGTAGCCAATCAAAGGTAAGGAGAAATGATTAATGGAGCTGAAGAGGAAAGGGCAAATATAGTAGTTCTTCATAACAGAAGGAGTGAAGGTAGAATAATTTTAATTTTCATCTGTCCCTTATATTCCTCCCCTTTCCTTTTTTTTTCCATCTTCTAATTTCTCCTTTCTCCTCTTCTTTCTCCTGTCCCATTTATTACCTCAATTCCTTCTTCCTCTCCCTTTTCCTTGGAGCTTAGCATTTGAACTGTCCATGTGCATAATTGAACTGTTTGGTGAATACTGGTCCAATCTCCAGTAGAAGTAATTCTACTCAGCAGATCTCCTACAGTCCTAATTTTCGCAGGTCTTGTCTGCAAGCTTATTGGTCATTCCTAAAACACTTACAGCTGGATTATGAATTAAAGTGGTACATAATTCTAACGTGTCCTGTGGGATACCACTGGTAACCAATCTCCAAATAGATCCATTTAAGACCACTGTCTGCCTGCAGGTTTTCAGATTAATATTAATTCCACAATACCCTATTTGGAAAGAAGCCTGTCATCAAAAGCTTTCTAAAAGGTACACAATATTCTTCATTTACCAACCTGGTTACTTCAAAAAGTCCAGTTAAGTTGATAGGATAAGATATTCATTCCTGGAAGCCAAGTTTTCTATGTTAATCGTCATATGTTACATCCTTAATGATTCCCTTGAGCATCTTGCCTGTTACTTATGTCAAGCTAATAGACTTTTGTTACCAGTCTTCCTTTCCAGAAACATTAGCTTCTTATGTAACTGTGTGCATTGAAGTTATTAGTGGATTGTAACTAATTACAGTCAAGTTAAACCAGTGCAAATAATGAATTAATTTATTTTTTTTCTGAGCTGCAAGTGTTTCCCTAACTAGTTATAGAGTTTAGTCATCAGCTTTTCAATGGACATAGACATGTTTTGTGGATATATTGGACATTTATTTGCATCAATTTAACTTTACTGTTATTAGCTGCACCCCACAGTTTTGATTCTCCATTTGCAGTGCTGAGGGAGTAAACTCTATGGGATGAGGCTGTAAATGGAGGCCAAGTTTGCACTCAGGTCACCTTAAAAAAACACTACTTTGAAGGAGGGTAGGGAAGTTATCCCCAGTGTTCTGACTGATGTTTGTCTCTCAATCAACATAACTAGAGCAGATTATCTGGTTGTTTGCACATTTCTGTTTGTGGAAGCTTGCTGCAATCAAATTGGCTGCCACGTTTCCTTAATTACAACATCAATTCAAAAATATTTCATTGGCTGTGAAATGCTTTGGGATGTCCTGAGGTCATGGTAGATGCTATGTAAATAAAGATTTGACATGTCTTTCAAAAAGTATAACAGTAGTACTGAATAAATGAAATAACATTTTTTTTTAGTTTAAATTGGTCATGTTTGTCTTCCTGTAAAAATAAACCAGTCTTTGCATATCACTTGGTAGATTTGTAAACATAGGAAAATAATCCACCACATACTGGTACCTGTCTCACTGATTGCTGTTAACATTCTTCAGAAACAATGAAGTATTGCAGTAATTCCAAACAAAACAAATAAACATCTGCTGCTGTGCTTAGCTGCCTCGAGTGATTAATTTGGCTAAATTTCAGGAGAGCCTATGGGGTGCCGTGTTCCCTCATTACTTCGTGGTGTTGAGTAATTTAGGGTATCTGATGCAGGACACTTTGTATTGAACATTTAACAACTTCATACCCATTGACCTTAATCTGACTCAGTCCCTCCATTATAATGGTCACTGGAGCTGTATATTGGCAGATTTACATCAAACATAAATGCAGCAATACCAGACCTGATTTACTCAGGAACAAGATTACATTAGCGTCAAGAAAATCAGAAAAATAAATCTTATGTAATTGTAATTTTGAGTACTGTTGACTTACCATTAAAGAAAATGAAATATGATTCTTGTTTTGCAACATTTTCAACACATTTGCTTCAGTTTCAAGCACCAGTTTTGATGGGAACTCAAAGATTGAAGTTTGAATGCCACTGATTTTAAGATTTGCCTTTTATCTCTCTGTGCGATTTTTTTAAAAAAAGTGCACCTATGGGTAAAAAAGAGGCAACATTAAATGTCAGTTAAGTCAAATGGGACTCAATTGTGCTGCATAATTTAAAGACTTTTGTAGAATTATGAGCTGGGGACAGAAGACTAAACCTGAATTGTTTACATTTTTGTTTCAGATTAACAGGAAAATGTCATGCTCAATGTATCAATCATGTATGAGAAACAGCTAACCTGAATGTAATACTCCTGCACTATTTGTGGAATGTCAGGCCCTTTTTATACCATCTGAGAATTTTGAAAATACAGTTGCATTTTACTTTAATGAATTATCAAAGCAGTTAGTATTTCAGCTTATACTAACCAGCTAAAGAAATAATACTTTGCAGTTTTCTCAATAAACTGAAAACATTGTTAACCAACCACTTCTAAGGAAGAGTCATATCAGACTTGAAATGTTAATTCTATTTCTCTCTTTATAGATGCTGCTGAGTTTTCCCAGCCTTTTATGTTTTATACTTTAAAATGCTTTCTAACTTATGATTTACTGCTACAGTGGATGGAACTAAATTTTTAAAAATGTTACATTAAATTTGCAGGAATTATTCATTTTTCCTCCCAGAATTCATGAATTAGAATAATTTGAAAGCATGTTTATTTTGCTTTCTCATAAACAATGGAATTAATTCTCCATGATAACGTGGATCTTGTGAACAGCATTAAATATTTTATTTTGCAACCAGTTTCTTATTTACATATCTCCTTAAAAATATAGTTATAAAAATTACATTAATGACTCAGAGCAACTAACTAAGAGAGACAAAAACAATTACCTAGATTCTGACTGAGGGTTACAAAGGGAATAATATTGCAGTACGGCATAAGCATAAAGCCGCAGCAACAAAGGCCAATGGAAGGAGGCAGCAGGTTAGAATGATTAACAGCATTAAAAACTGAGATGGTCAGCAGTTGAAAACAGACCTGGAGTCTCCAAGGATTGGGAAACTGCAGCAAACTCAGGTTCATTGGAAGCGTAGGCAGCTGGGAAAGGCACAAAACTGGACACTGACCAGGAGACACACTATTTCCATCCAAGAATATAGGAGAGGAAACCCTGAAATGCAATTGTTTAAAAAAAATCAAAAAGGTGCACCCTAAAGTTTAAAATTAAATTAAATATTAACTTATCTGAACGAATAAAAATCACTTAAAACAAAATATCAATGTGTTTCTTGGACAATGCACAAATTTTCCTGGTCACTGTCACACTATGTAAGTTTATTGTGGCAAGTTTGCGCAGGTGAGTTCTCTATTTTGTACCAGCATAAGAAATTATAAGGTGAATAATGACATTATAGGAAAATGTGGCAATGAGAAGTCAAGTTGCCCTGAAGGGTATATCAATTGGCTCTATTTTAGGTGTATTATCCTTACATTTTTAAGATTACTTTTATTATCTGTTAATTTTATACTTAATATAGCCGTACCAGAATATAGTTAGTCTAACTTTTACAGTTCTGAACTCTTTAAATTGCTTTATTATTATAAATGGAACATTACATATGACCCAAGTTGAAATATGCCATACTTAATGCTTATTTTAACATGTTGGTGATAGTGTAACAGTTGTTAACTAAAGGGTGTAATTCACAGTATAAAAGCACAATATTTCAAGGCAGAATTAACATATTTTTTTAATCAGAATTGGGGAGCAGATGAGAATTTGAAAGAGGTTGGATGGAGATCGGAGATATAATTATTCATTTTGGCATTATTTGTCAACATGAAAGAAGTTTCACATATGATCTGTCTATTTCTAAACTAAGAGCAGTATTTGCTGTTTGCAAGATTGTCAAGAACTGTATTAAGTACAGTTTTAAAAATTTGCTTTGCCATGCCTCAAAGAATGGTGTAAGTGCTTCTTGTATTACTAAAAATAACTCGTCTTTTTAAACTGTTTAAAGCTGAATTTAGTTCACATCATAGCTTCAATTTCTATCTTAGGACTCCTGGAACAACAAGCAGTTCTTGGCCAGCACGCTGGACAGCAAAGGAGAAAGAACTGTTTGAGCAAGGGCTGGTAAGAGACTGAAGGAACAATTAAGTAAAATGGTGACCTATACAGAATTAAGAGCTAAACAATTCAACCAGAGCTCTGGCTCATGATCACAATCCAGTAAAACCCTGGGTAACAAGTACATGTGTCTGGACCAATGATGAGGATATAATTTGATTTGGTTGTAATTCTCTTCTATGTTTTAATATCCTCTCATTCATAGTCTAGCATATACTTAAAATATTGGGATATGTTGGAGGGCTGCCAGCATCAGTGAAACCATGCCAGCAAATATATATGATCTAAGAGAATGGAGAAAGTTGGCAAGATAAAGTTCACTTTTCAGTAATAGTAGAATGGAATGTTTTGTGGCCAGACCTTTGCATAAGTTGTTCTATATTTTGTATATGCACCATGTACCAACTAATCTTTGCTGGTGTTGTAAATAAAGTGTAGAAGTTAAGATAGAGTATATTATGAATACTTTACCGTATTGTCATTGATGCAAAAATTAGGGTTAATAGTTTTTTTTTTGAAAGCATATACAAAAGCAGGCCAGCATTGTGTCCTGGGATTGAATCCATTGACATGGAATGAAAGTCTCTTCTCTCCATCATGCTTTAAATTACTGTGAAGCATCTCAAGCTATTTCAGAAAGACTGTAAATACATAACATAAAACAGTTGTCAAGTTGGAATTAAATTATTGCACAGAGAGGTCACAAGTATTCCTTGATTGGGAACAAAAAATGAGCAGAGAATTATCTTCAGAAACCGTTAAGGCACTGTTGTTGAGGAAGATTGTAATTTAACTCACGCTTTACTGTACTCTCCAACAGTAGCAATGCAAACAAAGAAATCCCAATGTGTAAGCTCTGACCTTGAAAAATGCAAATAGTGTGTTCTTTCCTATGTAAAGACAAGAGACAGCAGAATTAATTAGGGCAGACATTATGCAAGAACACGGACTGGGATTTTATTTATTCATGTTTATTTTAAACATTTGTTTAGTCTTAACACTGTTTCAAATATTTTAGATAAATAAACATTTGTTTGAAAACTTAGGAGTAATTCAGAGAACCTAGTGAAAGGGCTGGATGCTTTTGGATATGACTCATGAAACTAGCTAAACAGAACTAACCCATTGATACATCAAACTTATTTGATAGTGATGTTAATTTCTAAGGACTGTACACTGTTCTACAGCTGTCCTTGAAGTACACTATTGGATGTTAATGATCACATTATTACTATCTATTAAAATCACTGGCAGTTGCAAATTTCACGAATTAACATTACCTTAATGGCCACTGTTGCTTAAGCTTGAAAATATGAGTATTGGTGGGCTGTTGGTGACCTGCTGGCAGCACAGAATATTCGTACAGTAATGTAACATTGTTTGGTTCAAACAATCTGTTTTATATAACTTCAGATGCAAGAAAGAAATGTACATATAATTTTAATTATGGTTTCAAGATTGAAGTCTTTTCACTCAGTTCTGATATAACCCCATTACATGTGAAACTGCCTGAGGCACTGGTACTACTGCTGCTGCTTCTATTTTAACACAATCACGTGCATTTCTCCATTATGTTAGAAAACATATAATTGTCAGTTTTGTGTTATCATCAAAAATTTCCAACAGTTTTTTTTATAATTTAATAAGTATGACACAAGGACTGCAAAGTATATTGGACAATCAATGTAGTCCGTATATTTGAGCAATATTCACTTTGTCAGTTCCAGATTAGGTTCGTAAATCAACTGAATCTATCAATACATTTATTATTTTCATAATAAGTAAGTTTTATTAAGAGGCAAAATGCTCTGACTGTGTGTGTTTCATAGTATTTCTTTCTGATAAATTTTAGTAAGCACTTGTCACACTAAGACTTTACTCCACATTATATTTCGTCTCCAATGCCAATTATGATCTTAATAACCAATAAAATGGACTAGAAAGATGTTTTTCTGAAGGGCTGGTAGGTGTACAATGCTAAAATCATGGCAGAATAATGTCCAGCAATTCTATCAAATCTGACTTCAAAGTGTAGATGTAATTTTAATGAGTAAATATTATCAGTGTATTGGAGCAGTCATTGCTAATATTAGCAGATTAATTGAGTAGCCAAGGCAGTTATTTATTTCAGTCTCATGTCTAGTTAGGCACTATTTTAAATTGCTTTTTAATGGTATCTGCAGGAAAACAGTGTAGGTGAATCTATCTCATTAATGCAGTGTATCCATTTTTGAATTAATAACAAAATGCCAAACTTTTATTTCATTTTTTATAACAAATTTCCCTTGTTATGTTGGAGGCTTTGGTAATAATGATGAAAAACTAATTTCTTCAATGACTGATAAAAGATAAATATAGATTCCTCCTTTAAAAACATTGCATACTTTAGGTTAGACAGCGATTCTTGAATTACTCAGGAACTCTGCACCTTTGTAGGCAAAACAGTTTTCTGTATCTAGAAAATGTCTGAATTATACTGAAACGAGAGTCTGAGGGTTGAGGTATGTTTTGCTTAAATTGACTGCAGATTTCTTTCATACGAATTTTAAGAGATTTTATATGTCAAGTCACACTCCTGTGACTATCACTTCAACTTATGGGAATCAGGGATATGAAGCAAAGAATGCTTGGAACTATGTTAGCTGATGCAACCATGTCAGTTTTGAGTGTGAAGCAGCCTGTGTTCATGCAGGCTACAATCCCTAACTGTCCAAATCTTTTAGATTGCCAATGGCACAACATAGCAGCACAAACTGAAGCATTCTCCAAGTTATTACAGTCTGGTTTAACCCACTCTCAGGAGCATGCCATTCTCATGTGGCAGGCAGCTGTGTTTTGTTCTTTTTCTGTTTCTTCAATTTTTCGTATAATAGTCTTTGTGTAACTTGACATGATTGACACCAAATTAAATTGTCAAGTGTGTGTTTGTATTGAATTATAGGCATCTGTGCATTGAGGATCTAGATTCTGTCTGGCTGGAGTAATACCTTTACGCAGTTGACACAAAGAGGAGACATTTATATCATCTGTCTTGTCTGGATTTGACATTCCAGAGCAAAAGGCAGTGTACTAACTTATTGTGTCATCCTATCCTTCCTTATTAAGTCTAATAAAAACAAAGCCTAAGCTCTGTACTGCAGTTTTTGTTGGGTATTCTTTGAATGGTTTATTAAGCATGAACTGTGAAATCTACTTTGTTTGCTTTCAGGCCCAGTTTGGTCGGAGATGGACAAAAATTGCAAAGCTAATTGAATCACGAACTGTGCTGCAAGTGAAAAGTTATGCCAGACAGTATTTTAAGACAAAGGTGAACTTGGGCAAAGATAACTTTGCCTTTCTGTACTACTATTTTTAGGTCCTCTTCTAAACATATCAAGTTTTTCTGGGGCAATATCACATGAATACAGAATGTCTCAGGCACCTTGGATGTACAGGTATTTTCTATGTATTGAATATAGACACACAGTGTGGGTTGACACTTAGAAACATGGGGGCATCAAATTATGCCCTATATTTGTCCCACTTAATCACCGTTGATCATTAGATTATCAGAACCTATGTCCTCTTAACCTAAAATGAATGTGTGTTCACTAAGGATTCTAAAAAGTAACACTTTAAGTTTTGTTCTTTGGGAAATAATGTGTATGGATGGCCACAACAAAATTGCAAAGATATGTGCGTTGGAAAAAGATGTGCCATGCAGAGTAAGTAGATTTTGAAGAGAACATTGGTGTGAACCCTAATTGACTGCACCCAGGCAAGGACCAAAAACAGTACTGGTAGATGTGGCAACCTCAACTGCTGTCATGGCTGACAACAAGTGGCTGGGCATGAATTGCACTAGCACCTGTAACTACTCGTCTGTATGACTTAGTCCCATCCTAAGCAGTGCACTTACTAGCGAAGTGAATGTAGTAGATCCAGTATATCAGGAACCAGCTTTATAGTGTCAAATAATAATTTACATCTTAAGCTGTTCTTTGTGGAGATGTCACATGCGGCTTTAACCCATTATTTTGTACTTGTTAAACCTCATCTTTGCTGAAGGATATATTGATACTTTTCAACATTAATAATAGGCATTTATTAATTCAAAGTGAATCAATTCAGTTTTGTTTAAATTTCCGCTGTTCTATGTTGCTTATTCTAATTCATATTGCATCAGTCAAATGTTTTTATATACATTATGTAACCCATGTTTCACAAAAAAACTTGAAACTATGGATATGAATTTTTCTTTTTCAATCAGCATCATATCATCCATATTCAAAAATATTGTTTCGACAATTCATCTGTGGTGTTTTCATTTGGGGCTCACTTAGTTGCATATCACTTATTAAAATATTATTTCCCAGTAGATATATAGTTAAAAATGTTAGATATATAAGCTAAGTACTTTGGAGAATTTTAACTCCCCAACACATCTGAATTGGGGTCGGGTGAAATGTAAATTGGGCAACAGCTGTTCCCAAGACTGCAAGAAATTACAAAGAGTTGTGAGCATAGCCCACCCAGTTCATCACGAAAACCAACCTTACTTCCATTGACTCTGTCTACACTTGCTGCTGCCTTGGGAAAGCAGACAACATAATCAAAGACCCCTCCACCTCGGTTATCCTCTCTTCCACCTTCTTCCATCAGGGAAAAGATACAAAAGTTTGAAAATGCGTACCAACACATACAAGAACAGCTTCTTCCCCACTGTTATCAGACTTTTGAACAGACGTCTCATATTAGAGTTGATCTTTCTCTGCACCTCTCTGTTACTGTAACACTATATTCTGCATTCTGTTCTGTTATCCTGAGGTACTTACGTAAAGTATGATTGGTCTGAATAGAATGCAAAACAATACTTTTCACTGTATCTCAGTAAATGTGAAAATAATAAATCAAATCAAATCAAATCAAATCTTTGTAATACTAACCTGTCGTCCTCTAGATATAATGGAGGAGGGACAAGGAACCAACTGGAAGTAAGTTCCCAAGAGGTGAATTGGCCATTTAAAGATAATGAGTCTGTGAACCTGTGTTTAATGTGTTCTACAAGTTTAGTCCTGGCCACCTGTTATTTGAAACAGGAATCAAGTGCACCTTCAATTAAAGATAACAAGGTGTAGAGCTGGATGAACACAGCAGGCCAAGCAGCATCAGAGGAGCAGGAAGGCTGACGTTTCGGGCCTAGACCCTTCTTCAGAAAAATGGCTGTACTAATCAAGACACTCTGTTACATTAAGGTTATAACATCTTTAGGTCATTTCAATCTCCCAGCTATCTTTTCAAATGAGGTGAAATATCTTTCAACTCCACCCTAGCAAATCCAAGCACCAAACACAATTTCTAGTTAACTTGGGGCTTGGGGACTGCTTTGCAGAACACCTACGCTCGGTTCGCACTAAACAACTGCACCTCCCAGTCGCGAACCATTTCAACTCCCCCTCCCATTCCTCAGACGACATGTCCATCCTGGGCCTCCTCCAGTGCCACAACGATGCCACCCAAAGGTTGCAGGAACAGCACCTCATATTCCCCTTGGGAACCCTGCAGCCCAATGGTATCAATGCGGACTTCACAAGCTTCAAAATCTCCCCTCCCCCTACCGCATCCCAAAGCCAGCCCAGCTCGTCCCCGCCTCCCTAACCTGTCCTTCCTCCCACCTATCCCCTCCTCCCACCTCAAGCCCCACTCCCATCTCCTACCTACTAACCTCATCCCACCCCCTTGACCTGTCTGTCCTCCCTGGACTGACCTATCTCCTCCCTACCTCCCCACCTACACTCACCTTTACTGGCTCCATCCCCGCCTCTTTGACCTGTCTGTCTCCTCTCCACCTATCTTCTCCTCTATCCATTTTCTATCCACCTCCCCCTCTCTCCCTATTTATTTCAGAACCCCCTTCCCCTCCCCCATTTCTGAAGAAGGGTCTAGGCCTGAAACGTCAGCCTTCCTGCTCCTCTGATACTGCTTGGCCTGCTGTGTTCATCCAGCTCTACACCTTGTTATCTCAGATTCTCCAGCATCTGCAGTTCCTACTATCTCTGAAACACCTTCAATTAAAGTTGTGTTTTTTACAGCACCAACTGGGAGCTAAGCAGAGCAGGACTGCTTCCTTGCCAGTGGACTTCATTGGCCGTCCTGTCCTGCCCTGCCCTACCCAGTCCACTCCACTGTATGATATTTCCATAATTGGGAATGACCCTGATAACTCCATTTCTGGCAAGATAAGATCAACAACCACTGCTGCTATAACGATACTTCCCTCCCCCTTTTTCCTCCCACATGCTCCAATTAAAGAAGCAGCAGATTATTTTACTGTTGTTGTGGCATGTAGCATCCTCCAGAGTGTTCTCAGCCTAGAAGGGAGGCAAGCCCGTTAGAATGACTCCTAAATGGGGAATCTTTTGGAATAGTCAACAAACATTGTAGGCTAAATGTCTGCTCCTCAACCTACTCATTCTGCTGTTGTTAATACTGTATTGGATGGAAGTTGTAAATTGGTCTTATTCACCGACATTTTCTTGAGTTGTGTCTGCATCAGTAGGCTTTTATGGTTCTGCAACATGTTGCACTGCTGACATTGATCCATGCTGCAACTTGCATAGTCTTAACACTTAATTTCAAATGTTAAACAATAGGAAGTTGACATGTGGAGGTAATTAATAAATACCCCACAGCTGATATGTCACAGTAAGGCCATGAATACATCTCCTGATGGAGCATAGCCAGCAGAGTTAAAGGAATGTCATTGATGGCTTTCAGGATCATTATGGAAATGAAGTTTAAGATGGAACAAAAAGCTTAGTGATATATGAAGATCTTACAATCACTTCGTAAACTAAACACAATCAGATACTGCGCACCTGAAGCTTGCACATAATTTCTTAAAACAATGGTAACTAAAGCACAACAGCAATTGTTTAGTTTAATTTGTATTTTAACTAATTCTTTATCTTGTGTTTTGATTTAACTTGTATTTTAACTCAGATATGGTCATTCCAGAGCAAATCACATGTAATTTCTTCAAAAAGCAAGAGGTTTTAATTTTCACAAGTCAAAGAACTGGAATTAGTTAAAATACAAGGTAAACTAAACCATTGCTGCTGTGCTTTTGTTACCATTGTTTTTAAAAAAAACTGTACATGTGAATTGTAGTTGGAAGTGATTATCAAGCTGTTGGAAGCATGAGCAATACAGGGTGTATCCGTGTAAGAGACTAGAACTTTGAAACATTTGTGTGAAGTTTTTATTTTTCTTTTAATTTCGTAGGCAAGAAATGAAAACCCTGTGGAAGAGGCAAGTATTTGGTCTGCAAAACCAACTTTTGTGTCTGGAAATGGTGCCAGCTTTTTGAAGATAGAATCAGAGCATTACAGTCCTACATTAGCAAAAGGTCAGGTTTATCCCACTGTCAATGCTGTTAAGATTGAGCATATGTCTGATGATGAAGATGTGGACGTCATGGATGAAACAGATAGTGAGAGTGATGGGCTTCAGGAGCAGAAGGGAAGACTAACCCAACCTGCTTCAAAGACGAATGAACCTGAGGTGACTACTTGTAACAGTGCATCTGGATTAGATGACTCTGCAACTTCCACTGTGGTTTTGCAAAAATGTTTACAGGTGACAGACATAAAACAAGTGTCCAAGCATAATGCCACAAATAGTAATAAAACAAATAATTTGAAGTCCATAATTGATGACAGTCGAGAAAATGAAAGATCGGTAAAAACAGCCAATGTAGACTTTGTAGACTACAGCAAATGTGGACTTCCAATGGAGACCAATGAAGGATTAGGAGTGCAAATACCTGATTTTCTCGAGTTTAACCAATTAGAGGAAAAAGAAAAAATCCATAATGATATCTGTGCATATAGTTTGCCAGAATCAGTTTGTGAAATGGAAGGGGATGAAGAGACCTGTGATAGCGAAGGAGAAATATTGAAAGCTCCCACACAAGAAGTAATATTGGACAAAAACATGATCACAGAAGATGAAAAACAAGCTATCCCTGAGTTTTTTGAAGGACGGTCATCAAAAACACCGGAACGCTTTCTGAAAATTCGCAACTATATCTTGGATCAGTGGTAAGGAAGTGCAGTGTTTTAAGCCCTTTTACAAAATATTTCATAATGTGTCTGATAGCGTTTTCAGATTTTAGATAATGGATTAGTTTGCTGTAACTTTGATTCTCTATCCAAATCAAAAGCATGTTTGTAATTTGGTTTTGCGTTATTTTTGTACGATTCAGCTGAAATTCTAGGAGGGAAAATAGGATACCCGCTGAAATTGAATATGGGTATTTGTAATGCATTACTTCATGCTCATTAACAATGAAATGGAGTACATCAATTAATTGTTCTCTGCTGATCATAATGATTGAGACATGCAATCAGCACTGAATGTGTTGTGAGTGTATGAGGCTAGCACTATGTCTAGCACAATTTCTTGCACACTTTACTAACTTTTATGAACTTCTTTAAGCATGTAGCACCTTTCACAAATTCAGCAGGAGCCAGTAGATAGTGGTAAGCAGCAACTTGACAAAGTAAATAATGATTCCTTGAAACTTTTCGGTGGTATAGAGGTGTCAATGGGGTCCTTATGCTGCACATAATATGTTCAGCTGTGTATATTGAAGAGTGTGCGTTAACTAGAATGGTGAGATCCACACTGGTGTTGAATCAATGTTAAAAGCTAACTAATGCCATCATCTATGTACTTTGTATGGCATATGCGCAATATGCCCATGTTAATACCCTCAACAATGCACTATTTGTTTTGAGTCGTATCTTAACTGGCAGGAGCAATTTGGCTACTATTTTTCTTCCTAAACCAGCCAAATTTTGTGTCCATTCAATCTACTTAAACAATATTACTTGAATAGAAGTGCTTTTCAAATTTTTTAAAATAAGTATACATTCTTTAAATGGTAACTTTGTAATTAAATATTGTGACAGACAGGTACTTCATCATATCTTTCATATCAATTTGATAAAAAGAATGAGGATAAAAACCTCTTACGTAGCTTCCATTTCTGTCAATCCCACTTTGATCATTCCAGGGTACTGTGAACTGGTAAAGTGCTGTCTACAGAACTGTGAAGTTTGATTTTGAATTTTATTTTTCTGTTATTAGGTTTTCCAGGGTCATACACCTGGAGACAATCTGATCTAAAACCTTCACCAGTTCTGTTCTAAAACAGCTCAGGCTTACATATTTTTTTGCCTTCTTTCATTTACTTGTCCTGTTTTGCCCATTTTACTGGCCTCTGTTCATTGTTACTCAAAAGTAATGTCAACTTTATGACAAGGCAGAGACAAGGGGGAAACCAAACTTGTGCATCTGTCTCCTACCTACTGTATGATATTCAAATATTTAATATAGTGCTGATTCTGCAATATAGAACATAGTACACCACAGGAACAGGCCCTTCAGCCCACCCTGTTTGTGCTGACCATGATGCCATTCTAAACTAATCCTATGCGCCTGCATAAGGTCTGTTTCCTTCTGTTCCCTCCCTGTTCATGTGTAAATCTAAATGCCTCTAAAACTTTGCTGGTGTATCTGCTTCTATCGGCTCCCCTGGCAGTTTGTTTCAGGCGCCTACTACCCTCTGTATAAAAAAAAACTTTCCTTGTGCTTTACTTATTTTCCATTCAATTACTCTGGTAAATGCTACTCAATTTTACTGAATATTTACTTGTTTGCTTTTTCCTTTTAAAGGTAATTTGATGCATTAAGGAATCAAATGGCAACCAGGCTCCCTTACCTCTCCAAACCGCCATTTATTTTTGCTACTGCTTTGTACTGCATTTTTCAACCAATTTTTCTGTAATGGTATGAAGTGGAATATGCTCCTCTTTTTCATCTGTTTCTATTCAAATTTAGGGTTACCATACTCAAATGTGAAACTTTCACCAACTGATAATTGATCATATTTGGTACATCTGACCTTTATTATTAAAAAAAGTCCCGGTTTCTGGTGTCCCAGGAGCTGAAATGTCTGACAGTCACAAATTGCAATTTGATTGCTTCTTTTTTATCCCCTGCAGGGAGAAGTCTAAACCCAAATATCTGAATAAAACATCAGTGCGACCAGGATTAAAAAATTGTGGAGATGTGAATTGCATTGGACGGATACACACATACCTGGAGCTAATTGGAGCTATAAATTTTGACTGTGGTGAGCTTGCAATATGTTTTATTTACAAGATAAAGCTTTTATTTCCAAATCTCAATTTGGATATATTCACTGTCCAGTTCTATTATAGTTTTGGCTGTTGACTCTATGGACAAAATCCCATGTGCAAACTGAGCATTATGAGAGCTAGTTTGGACATGCTTTCGATAACCATTTGGCCTCAGTTCAATAGTTAAAATGACCAAATGCCAGGCAGAGATTTTCTGGTAATCTAAATAGCTGATTTGTTTCTCTTCCTCTTTTTAATTATTTTTCATTAATTCTATTTCCTTTTTAAATTTTTCCTTTCCTACTACTTTCAGACCATGAAAATAACTTCTTGTCTGAGTATTATTGTTATTGTATTTTATGTTTCCTTTGGGTGGTGCTATAACTCCTTTTTAGACAAATTCCTGCAATTCACTCAATCTATGTTACAATGTTAATGTACAATTCTGCACAATGTGTCAAGTGTCAGGAACTGGTTTTTACAGATTATGAAAGAGAGTGAAAAAAAGTTAAAAGCAGCAAATGTATATCTCAATGTAAATATAAAATGTTAGAAAATATGACCATTACTTTTCTTAATATTAGAAGATAAGGATTCTTCTCCTGTACTGGCCTTCTACATAAAATTGAAACGTGGTAGTTTGCTTTTTATAGGGTCAAACATTCGAGGCTGTGATTAGCTATAAACATGGATGGCTCTGATTGCCTGGTGAGCTGGGATGGAGTTGCAAATATAAAGTCATAACTGGATGTTCCTAGCTATGGAGCCGTTTGTTAATTGAATTATAAAGCCTTGCTTCATCACAAGACTGACTAAAGATCTACAGTTTTTATCTGTATCTACAAATAATTCATGCAAAAATCCAGGTTGCACCCTCAAGTTTATATATTATTTATTCATAACTTTTTTGTCCAATTTATATTAGTTATGTCGCAGCTGTTTTAATTCCTGACATGCTGTCATTTTTATTACCAAGTTACGACCTTCATGATTCCAGCAACTGAAAAATCACTTGCTTCCACGTAGCATTTCACCACTTTTATCTGCAAAAATTTTTAGAATATACAGTCTTGTCATTAATTAGACATCTATCAGACTCCTTTTAAAGACATTAACTAATGGAAATTTACAGGTGTTACTGAGTAATCAGCGTAAAAAGAAAACACAGGAAATAGGAGCGGGCATAAGTCATTAGGACCTTTCAGCATCCTCTGCCATTTAGTAAGATTGTCGCGGATTTTCTTTCACCCATATCATATCCCTTGATTTCCTTAGTATTGAAAATCTACCAACGTTTTGCTTGAATATGCTCATCAACTGAACATTCAATTTAGAATTTCAGTGGTTCACAACTCTGTAGGTGAAGAAATTTCTCTTTGACTTAGCTGTTTTCTTATGCTAAGACTGTGACCCATATTTCTAGGCTTTCTTATCGAGGAAACGTCCATCCCCAGCATCTACCCTGTCAAACCTCTTAAGAATTTTACAATTTAAATGAGGCCCAGTTTCATTCTTCTAAACTCCAGGAACTGTAGGTCTAGTCTAGTCTACTCAATATCACCTCGCAGAGCAGTTTCTTCAACCTAGAAATCCATCTGGTGAAGCTTTGCTGCACTCCTTCCAAATATATTCTACCTTGTGTAAGAACACCAAAACTGTACTGTAGTAATAATCAAAACAAGGTGCGATATAATTCAACGAAACCTCTTTACTTTTATACTCCAAGCCTTTTGTAATAAAATTAACCTATCATTTAACTTCCTAATTGCTGGTAGTATCTACATGTAAACTTCCTGTAATTTATGTGCAAAGACACACATTTCTCTCTGATCACCAACAGTTCCCAGTTGCACACTACTTCATGTTAAATTTTTAAGATCTTAATATCTATTCCTCTCATGTTCCACTCCAAGGTAACATCAGTCTGTGAGTTGCTTCTGACACCAGCAAACTTCAGCTGGCTTTTGGTTCGGAATATCCTGATGAATTATGTTGATTAATATTGTACTTTGATAATAATTGGTAAATCAGAATGTCATGCAGTACAATTACTAAAAAGTGAGTCACCAAAGTGGCATCAGAAACAGAATCTTCATAGCTGACAGGAACTCATCTAGTTGCTTAGTGATCAGTTATGTAAATATTTAACTTTTCTCCAACAGTTTTCTTCACGATTTTTTCTTTCCAGCATTCACAATTGGAAGCATTGTATCTTGGAGAGAGAAATGAAAGTTGATGTTTCAAATCTGATACGACACATTGGAAGAATTTCAAAGAAGAGTTGTATCAGACTTGTAAATGTTAACTTTGGTTTTTTTTCTCTCAATTGATGCTGCCAGATCTGCTGAGTTTCTCCAGCAGTTCCTGTTTTTCTTTTAAATTTCTAACATCTGCAGTACTTTGCTGTTATTATAGCATTGTATCCTTGTTTGGGTATCGTGCCATAGTAGATTAATACTACACAATAGCACGGTTATTTCTCCATGTAACTTGACAGTAAATGATAGTATGCTATTTGTCCCTAGGAGCACCATGGTTGACACTCTCATCACATTTCCAGCTTTTAGCATTAGTTTGCAGTCAGGAATTACAATCCTGGCCAGTCTCAATCCCTGCCACCACTCATTGGTTGTGTGTGGGCAAAGTGGCAGGTGGGGGGTTGGAAGATAGAGAGAGAGATGAGAATGATAGTTACTTCATTTTGGTCTCAGTATTTGAAAATTATAATGTGATCTTACTTGATGGTTGATAGATAGCATTTGCCCTCTATATGTATAAAAGTGGAACCTAGATCTGAAGCAGCAAACTTTAGAATTATATTTTGGTCCCTGTTAACATTGTTATTTAGGTTTCACACTGATCAAAATCTAAACTTAGTATTATAGCATTCCACCATATGATGGAAGGATCTTGGTAAATTTTATTTTTACTTTTGTTTTCACAGAGCAGGCAATATATCATCGACCACGACCTGCAGACCGAGCACGTAATAAAGAGGAAGGAAAGGACAGTGAACAGACATATTTGCTTGCTCAAAGATTGCAGTCCATGGTGAGTTGAATAAATACCATAACTGTAGAACAATACTGTAGCAGCCTTTTACACTGCAGTTGTCATGATGAAGTAAAGTTCTACAAATATCTTTTCATAAAACCATTGAATTTTACTGCATGGAAACCATTCAGTCTATTGCACCCTTCACTATTGTCCAAGTAGTACTAAGTAAGCTCGATGTACTAACTTAGAGAAAGCAAAGTGCAAAAAAGTTTAATTTGTGGGTAGTTGGGTAGGGCTAACATGGAGCAGTTTTCCCTTGACCAAAGGATTATGAGTTTGACCCATTTAAAATTTCTTAGAATTTTTTCTGACCGACCTGTGAAGATGAGAATTACAGAAAATCAGAGATAGTGTCATATTGTGTGGTCATAATTTTTTTAATTGAAGCGACCCACATTAATTCCATTCCCCTGCCATTTTGCCATAGTTTTCTAACATTTTTTCTTTCTTTTCAAATTGGTATCAAATGAAATTTTATATTAATTTTTTGCCTCAGTATTTGGATGTGGTTTGGATTTATTTGGATTTGGATTTATTCTTGTGATAACCCTGAGTCTGTATAACTATGTGACTCCTTTTCCAAACAGTTCTAATTTACCAAATCAGAACTGTATAATTTTGAAAATGTGTCTCAGACTTTGTCCTTAGTCTTCTCTACTGCAATGAAAAGAGACTCTGGTTTTAAGCCATTTTTCCTAACAATTTACCTTGCTAGTGAGACAAGGAATAAAAAGATAGGACAGATGAATGCGTGGCTAAGGAGCTGGTACAGGGGACAGGATTTCAGGCTCTTGGACCATTGGGACCTCTTCTGGGGCAGGGTTAACCTATGCAAGAGGGATGGGTTGCACCTAAACTGGAGGGGAACCAATTTCCTCACAGGGAGGTTCGCTAGTGCAATCGGGAGGTTTTAAACTAGAGTGGTAGGGACTAGAGTAGCAGGTCAGCAAATGGAGGGATTGAGGGGAAGGTAGATATTAAGACCAGTAAATCAGAAAGAAAGGACAGGTGGAGACAGGTAAATGAACACGATGGTACTAATGCGCTGAAGTATGTTTATTTCAATGCAAGGAATATTATTGGTAAGGTAGATGAGCTTAGAGCCTAGATCAGTACATAGGAGTATGATGTTGTGGCCATTCCAGAGACTTGGTTGAGAGAGGGGCAGGACTGGCTGCTTAACATTCCAGGGTTTTGTTGTTTTAGACAAGATAGAGAGGAAGGTAAAAGAGGTGGAGGGGTTGCATTACTAATCAGGGAGAATGTTACATCTGCAGTCAGAGAGGACATGCTGTAAGGCTCATCCACTGAGGCAAGATGGGTGCAATCATTCCGATAGGATTATACTTTAGGCCCCCGAATAGCCACCATTGAGAAACAAATACGTAGGCAGATTATGGCAAGAAGAAATAAAAACAGAGTTGTCGTAGTGGGTGACTTTAACTTCCCCAATATTGACTGGGACTCCCTTAGAGCAAGAGGCTCAGACAGGGCAGAGTTTGTTAAGTGCATCTAAGGGGGCTTTTTGAAACAGTATGTGGACAGTCCAACTGGAGGAGGGGCCATACTGGACCTTCTATTGGCTAATGAGCCTGACCAGGTGACTGATCTTTCAGTGGGAGAACATTTTGGAAACAGTGATCACAACTCCTTAAGTTTTAAGATAGCTACGAACAAGGATAAGTCAGGACCTTGCAGGAAGGTACTAAATTGGGGGAGGGCAAATTACATCAGTATTAGGCAGGAGCTAGGGACTGTTAACTGGGAGGAGCTGTTATCAGGCATGTCCCCACATTTGACATATGGGAATTGTCTAAAGACCTGCTGATGAGAGTTTAGAACCGACATGTTCCAGTAAGGAGGAAGGATGAGGACGGCAAGGTAAGGGACCTTTGGATGATGAGAGATGTTGCAAATTTAGTCAAAAGGAAAAAAGAAGCATATGTAAGGTTTAGGAAGCTAAAATCAGAAAGGACCATGACGAATATAAATAAACTTGGAAAGCACTCGAAGAGGGAATTAGGAGAGCAAGAAGGGGCCATGAAATGATCTTGGCAAGGCATTCTATAGATACAGTTAAAACAAGAGGATAACAGGGGAAGGTAGGACCACTCAAGGATAAAGGAGGCAGAGAATGTGAGTGAGATTCTGAATGAGTACTTTGTATTAGTATTCATCAAGGAAAAGGATATGGAGGATAGTGAGATTTGTGCGGAGCATGCTAATATGCTAGGGCATTTTCAGATCAAGAAAGGAATGGTGTTGGTTCTCTTGAAGAGCATTAAGGTGAATAAGTCGCCAGGGCCCAATTGTACCTACCCCAGGTTATTGAGAGAGGCAAAGGAGGAGATTGCTGGCGCTTTGACCAAGGTCTTTGTATCCTCACTAGCCACTGGAGAGGTCCCGGAGAACTGGCAAGTAGCTAATGTTGTTCCTCTGTTCACAAAGGGAAATAGGGACAATCCAGAAGACTACAGACCAGTGAATCTCACATCAGTGGTTGAGAAGCTATTGGAGAGAATCCTTAGGGATAGGATCTACACACATTTGGAAAAGCATGATCTAATTAGGGACAGTCAGCATGGCTTTGTGTAGGGTAGGTTATGTCTTACTAACTTGGTTGAATTTTTCTAGGAGGTGTCAAAGGTGATCGATGAGGGTAGAGTAGTGGATGTCGTTTACATGGATTTTTGTAAGGCTTCCGACAAGGTCCGTCATGGTAGGCTCATCCAGAAGATTAAGATGCATGGAATCCACGGTGATTTGGCCGCATGGTTTCAGATTTGGCTTGCCCATAGTAGGCAGAGGGTAGTGGTGGAAGGCTGTTTTTCAGGCTGGAGGTCTGTGACTAGTGGTGTTCTCCAGTGATCCATACTGGGACCTCTGCTGCTTGTGATATATATAGATGGGTATGTTAGTAAGTTTGCAGACGATACAAAGATCGGTGGAGTTGTGGATAGTGTAGAATGTTGTCAAAGGATACAGCGGGATATATATCAGTTGCAGATATGGATGGAGAAATGGCAGTTGGAATTTAATTCAGGTAAGTGTGAGGTGCTGCATTTTGGGAGATCTGATGGTAAGGAAAAGCATCAGAAACTTTGCTGATGCCACAGATAAAATTCTTGGTGTTTTCTCCATAATTTTGTCTCCAATTTATCTTTAATTTTCCTTACCAATTATTATTGTAGAAAGACTAAACCTTGTTACAGTGTGTATAAAATATCAACATGAAAATATTTCTTAGTATGTGCCATGACAAATACCTCATTGAAGTTTCACTAAACTGAAAATAAGCAACATGCCTCAATCTTGTGCCAGTCTTCACTAAGTAAACAAAGATAACATTTGAGGCTATTTGTTCAAATTACTGATAAAGTTACTACCTATGTTATGATCCCAACTTATGTTATTTCTGGACAAGTCAGATCCCAGACTGAAATCTGGCATGATGCATCCTATTTTGCTTTGTTTTGGTTTTAATGAGTTAATTTCTCAGTGAAGTACAAGCGCACAGTGTTGCTTATTTTCTGGGAGTTGCTGCTGTGCACGGACCTTGGAGGCCAGTGCAGTCAATAAGAAAATTAGAGGGAATGCTGATCACAAGCGTATATGTCTTAATTCAGTAAGCACAGTTTCAGTCCCCGTCCATTTATAAGGACAAAGTGAAAAAGTTAAAGCCTACTGCTTGCATGTGATTGAGCACAATTAATATACAGTTAGCCTTCGGCTGAAGGAGAAAGGCTTGTGTGGAGAGTACTTTAATATTCTTGGGAATAGGTATTATCCTTAAACTATCAGCAAACCTATTTTTTTGCAAATGATTATGTGTGCATAGATAATGCTATGAAAAGCTCTCAATCCCCTGCCTTTTGTTATTTGTTATAGCGTACCAGAAGACGGCGGGTGCGAGATTCTTGGGGCAACTGGTGTGATGCAAAGGATCTGGAGGGACAAACTTTTGAGGTACTTGAAACCAAAAGTCTTACAACAACATTACTGCCTTAGAAAACTTTCACCAAAGACTGCATTACACAATTTAATCAACTTGCTAGTTACTACACTTTATTAAAACTATACAAAATGGATAAGTAAATTTATTTGTCATAGTTGCATTTTGAAAGAAGTAATGGGCTACTTTGAATTAAGTATCCAAATCAACCCAATGCTTAGAGAAAATATATTTAGGATTGAAAACAGAGGATTGTGATAGAAAAATCAGGCAACAGTTGAGAAGAGGACATGCTATGGGCAGTCTTTTTACAAAACAGGATCTGCTATAGGTAACCTCTTAGGTCCAGGGTATCAGTTGCTCTTGTAAACAGACTGATGTTTTTATTGAAGTTGACTTAATCTATATTCACTTAGTCTGGTAGATGTGGTCAGAACCAGATATACCTGTATTTTGCACAAACACTACTTCAGTCTCTCGAAAGGTGGGTTGAACAAACAGTCAGTAAGAACAGATATAATAACAAAATATCCTGAAAAAATGTGCAGATTGTGACTTTTCATCAGAACTGGTTCTAAAATGTTTAAAATGACCTGAAATGCTTTTTTTTCATTCTCGCAACAAATGCAGTCAGACCTGAGTATTTCTACCAGTTAGTTTTTATTTCAAATTTCCAGCACCTGCTGTACTTTGCTTTTGGCTTGATTCAGATCTTTCGCTATTTACTTTCATTGAGTATAAAGTACTTGATTAAATCAGTAAAGCTTGGTTTTGCATAGCAATACCAAACAATTAAAATTACATGCTTCTTATTGGGATCTTGATTCCTAATAACATAGGAGCTGTAGAATTGAGGAGTTGCACACCATACTGACTAGGACCTCATCAGCTATCCATGTGTAGCTATGAAACAAGCATACAATTGATGATTTCGAAAATTTGGCTTGCACATCCTATTGCCAAAGAGGGAGATAAGTCCAAATCGACCAATTACTTGTCATCTGTGAAGTGATAGAGGAGCTGATCGATAGATGGTACTTTCTTGCCGATGAGCTGCTGACTGAGACTCGGTTCGGGTTTTTGCCAGAACGACTTGGCTCCAGAGCTTGGCCCAACCATGGTCCAAAAATGAACGCTCACACTGAATGCAGGGCAGGATAAAAGATGCTGCCTTTAATATCTAGGCTTTATCCAGCTTAGGAAGGCATTGAGAAGACCCAGCAGAACCCAGACCAAGAAAGCTATGCAATAATCGGGGTCCCGCCTGAAAGACAGGAAGATAATTGTGATTTCCTTTTATTTGTTTATGGAATGTGGAAAGTGCTAGTCAAGTTACGATTTGTTACCCATCCCTGAGAAGATAACAATAAGTAACCTTTTTGAACCACTGCAGGAAATTTGGTGTGAGTACTTCTACAGTACCTTTATGCAGGGAGTTTTAAGCTTTTGACCAAACTGCAGTAGTGGATGTGTAGTGATATATTCGTAGGTCAGTATGGTTTGTGAATTGGGAAGGGAACTTCTCAGTGATAAGGTTACCAAATGTCTGCTGCCCTCACTCTTTTAGATGACAGTGGTTGTGTGTTTGGGAGGTTCTGTCAAGGAAATGTTGATAAGTTGCTGCAGTGCATTTCAATAGTGGTGCTTATTGTAGTCTCTTTGAAAGTAGATGGAGAGGAATTTTAAGATGATGGATGGAGTACCACTCAAGTGACCACCTTTGTCCTGAATGATGCTCTCAAACTTCTTAATTGCCTTTAGAGCTATGTTTATCCAGGCAATGGACAATTTTCCATACACTCCTGACTTGTGCCTTATAAATGGTGGAAAGGCGTTGGGGAGTCAGAAAGGAAATAACTTGCAACAGAATAACCAGCCTCTGACATGCTCTTGTAACCACAATGTTTATATGACTGGCCCAGTTTCTGGTTAATGGTGATGTACTCGGACTTTGATGGTGGAACGTGTCGGTACTAATATCATTGAAGGTCATGGAGAGGTGGTTAGATGCTCTGTCTTTCTGAAGATGGTCGGGCACTTGGTTAATATTAGCGTCGCTTGCCATTTACCAGCCCAGACTTGAAGGTTGTCCATATATGAATGCATGCTGGCATGAATGTCTCAATACCTGATGAATTGTGTATGGAATTGAATCCTGTATACGTTACTGAATATCACCATTTCTGACTTCATGGAAGGAAAATCACTAATGACGCAGTTGAGAGTGGCTGTGAGTAGGAGATTATCTACCCAGAGAAACTCTTTCATCAGTGTCTTGGTTCTGAAATAGTTGCTCCGCAATAACCACAGATATTTTCCTTTGTGCTAGGTATGACTCAGAACACTGAAGTATTTTACCACAATCTGCAATGATTCCCATTGGTTAACTTTTATTAGAGCTTCTTGATTTTATACTTTTGACTTAAAGTGCACACACTTTCAAAGCATAGAATGGAATCCCTGCAATGCGGAAGCAGGCCATTCTGTCCATACCAACCGTCTGAATAGCATCCCAACCCCTACCCTGATTTTGTTTGATTCATATCGATGTAAGATATGAATTAGTTTTACAGAAATTTGTGGTGATGATTTTATAACATGAGAACATTCCGTTGTATTAATTTTTATAACATGAAAATATCCATGCGTTTTTGCTGATATCATTAATTTATTTGTGATACTTGATTTTTTAAAATAAATGCACATAGATTTATTATATTTAGAAGCAAAAAATGGCAAAATATTTAATGTTTCCATCAGTTCTCATTAATTTTAATAAGTTTTTGTGCAACAGCAAATGAAAGTAGGTGGGATAGACCTGGTAGGTGGGCTGCAAGGTCTTTTGTCATGTCTACGTGGTCCATGGATGCAAATATTTGACAATGACTTATCAATTATCTCACGTTTCCTTGCTAGGCTGGCTGTTAAATTGCTATTTCAGATAACATATCTCTGGATAATTTTAGTATCATTTATGAACTTATAGCATTTCACAACAGAAGAATTGGCCAGGAGGCAGGAAGAAGAGTTGAACAAGCCTCCAAAACCAGCAAGAGGCCCTCGCCAGTCGAAGAGGTATAAGCTCTTCATGAACTACGATCACGTGTTTTTTAAAAATGGCCACACTAAGAAATTGACCTGCGAGAACTTTAATCGTAATATTTGCTTATTATATGTTAAGCTTGCTTTTGTATTCTGCTTGTGTGGATATTTTGTATTAATGTATTTAAATGTGTTACGATATGCGTCTAGAGAAGGTGAGCCTTAAAGCTGAGCCTTCTGCCCCAAAGGTAGGGAAACTACCACTGCGCCACAAAAGCACTAACCACCTATGTAAAATGGACAGGATTATGGCAGAAATTAGCTATTTGTATTGCCAGTTGTGAAGCATAAGAGGCAGTTTCTGTTTCTTCCAGGATACTTTGGCTACATTAAAACTTTAAAAACATGTGGAAATATACTATTCTTGGTGTTTTCTTACAGTTTGGCAGGAAGACTTATAGTGAAATTTTTGTGAGTATTTTTGTAGCTGGGATTCAGTTCCTGTGATCAATTATGAAATATTTAAAAGTCTAATTTAACTCTCGTAGGTGGTTAAAAATGGGGAGGATTTTCCATTTACAACCAAAGCTACAGTACCTGTATTAGGCTCAAAGCACATCAGTAACAACCATAGTCAGCATATTTTGTTTGGTTTAGGAACCGGCTTAGTGTTAGAAAAATGTAATTTCTGTCCAAACATTTGAAATGAAGCAATAAAAGTTAACAAACAATATGACCATTTTAAGTTCCTTCCACCTGGTGGAAGCCGGAAACGAGCAGAGTTAAAATAAGTAGTTGAGCTGATTCAGACTGAGCTTTAGTGAATTCAAATATCTAATATTGTTTTAAAAGTCTGCTGGGTGAAGTATCCATGGAAGAACGTGCAGTCAGTATGGCCTGGAGCAAAAGATGACCAAAAAGTTGTGTGTTAATTTTGTTTTACTGAGGCCAGAGAGGGAAGCTGTTCATGTTGGTTTCTTAAGAATAATTTGGGCTATTGCAGTTGCCACGCTGGCTTTCTACTATTCTCATGAACACTGCCCCTTCCTCACCCATCCATCTGGTATCTATCTTTTTTCCTGGCCTGGAGGCATCAAACTGCATTGGGATGGCCAGCTCTTACAATGGGGGTTGCATTGTGTCCCCTCAAAGAACTGGATTTTCAACCCATTCCTCCGGTTGACTGCTCAGTCGTTAAAACAAAACCCTAGTATTGCTTAAATTTTCTCTTTAACTGATGTAAAACTGATGTAGAGAAATGGCAAACACAAACTGCTAATAAAATTCAGACTTTATTTAAAGGTTGTTTTGCCCTACCCTCACTGTTGTTCATGCCTTTGGTGATTTAATTATTTGCCTCATTTTCTCTCCTTAGCTCTTTTGACCCTTTCCAGCTTATCCCGTGTCACTGCTTCAGTGAAGAGAAACCAGTAAGAGCCTTACCTATCTTTTTCAGATAAAGATGATGCTTCTAGTTTGTTGTGTTCTATTTTTTAAATTCTTGTATACCTGTTGGTAAATGGTGTTTTCATTTCAGGAGCCGTTTCAAGTGAAGGTAGCTTCAGAGGCGTTGCTAGTAATGGATATGGTAAGGAAAGGAGCGTTCGTTTTTCTCCATGTAATACAGGTGCACATGACTGTCTCAATGGAATTGTTAACATCAGAATGGACATTATATTGCCTCAAATAATTGCTGAATCTATTCTTGCCACAAGTGCTTAATAAATATATCAGGACTGTGGAAAACTTTAATATATTAAAAACATAAAAGCATGCCGATGTGACTATCCTAAAAATTCAGTGTGATGCACAACAAGTTGATTTTTTTTGAGCTGCTTAAAATTTACTTTTAATGTGTTAAATGTCAGCCCTTTGATTGTAACTAATAAATTGTGTAATAACAGAAACATCAATCTTAAAGATTGAAGGCAAAATTTCAATGCGTATCATCTTCATGTACAAAATGTAACATTTCATTATGTTTTGAGAACCAAGCTAAAGCATGAAATTTTTAAAAGGCAAATTTTGAGAATGCAAATACAAGTTCAAGTTCTCCCAATATACGTGAAACAGCGTGATCCTCATTAACAACACTTCAAAAATTTGTGCCAAATATTGATGGTACCTGAGAGTGAATTATGTTGTCCAGTAGTGACTCTATTCTTATTAGAAAAGGTAGCGAATGACTTCATTATGGAATAAGGTGTCTTATAAAATACCTTGTAGACGCTTAGAAAAAAAAATTCAATCATGCGATGTGAACTTTGGTGGCTGGACCAGCTGTTATCCTTAGTTGCCCTTGAGAAGATAGTGGTGAGCTGTCTCTTGAGTCAGTATAATTCATTTGTAGAAACACCCGTACAGCCTTTAGGTAGAGAATTCTGGGATTTTGACCCAGCAATATTGAAGGAATGGTGACGTGTTTTCGGGATGGTGAGTGAATCTGCAGCCTGTGTAATGGTGTGTCTGGGACTACAGGTGGAGCCACCATGCTGAGGATCCTAGGTAAGTTGAGAATTTTAGTAAGAAAGTGACCTAGTGGTCACTGTATTCAAGAGACAAGTGATTGGAGAATGATGTTGGGAAGGGGTCGGTGTGTGTGGAGGTGTCTCCAGAAAGCCTTCAAAAGAAGTCCCCACTTCCTTTTCCAACACAAGCCTAGGCAATGGACAAAATAGTTGTGGTGGTTTTCTAGAGCCTAGGTCATAATCGAACACAAGGGCTTGTATAATCCAATGGTGGGTCAGGAATGGGCAGTAGGCCAGTGAGAAGAAACTTGTTGGATTTTACTTGCTCACTCCCACTCTTCCTGCTTTCAAATCCAGTGGTAGGGGGGCACAAAATCCATCCCAGCACTTGTGCAACTTGTTATAACCAGAATGTTATAGATTCTGGGTAATTTGTTGAATGCATGAATTTTCTGTGTCATTAGAAGTAATATTCTTATATCCTCCATGTTTAGCATGCCCATGTATCAATGGCAGAAGTGATCGGCCTGTTAGGTGGGCGATATTCATCAGGAAAGAAAGTATTAGAGGTAATTGGAATTTTGGATTTGTTTTAACCTCCCTGGTCTTCACTTTTCTTTCATTGCCTGTGAAATAAGTTAACATGTTCAGGTTTATTTTAACTTTGTACATCATTTTAAAACAGCTATATTATCACATTTATAAAACATCATTACAACTGGCAAAGAAACAAAATGGATGCATAATATTTCTTAAAATTCAAGTGATAAAATGGTGCGGTGAATGAATGAAAAATTTAAATAACGGCTGAAATAGGAACGTTGAATTAACAGTGAATGTTTGCGAAATACTGCTCCAATGATGAGAAAATTATTTTGACATGCTTGTGAAAATCAATATCTTAAATAAAAGATTATTTCCTTTTTACAGATCTGTGTTGCAGAGCCATGTAACAGCTTAAGCACAGGATTACAGTGTGAGATGGACCCAGTGTCACAAACACAGGCATCTGAGGCCCTAGCTGGAAGAGGATACAGCATTGTTGGATGGTACCATTCCCATCCTGCATTTGATCCTAATCCATCCTTAAGAGACATTGACACCCAGGCTAAATACCAGGTATAAACTCTGCAAAGTTTCAGAATTTATAAAATTCCACTTTCTTCTCAAAGATTTTAAAGAGAAATAGTTTGTGCATCTTTCATTTCTGTCCAGATACTGATTATAAAGATATAATCATGAAATGAATTATCATTTATTCTTAGTGGGCAGCTTTTTGGGGACCATTCAGTTATAAGAATCTTAACATCCAAGAATATTACAAATGAATGAGCTAATGTGTCTAAAATGTGAGCAGTGATGGAAGGGATATTCTTCTTTCATCTCCTGCTCCATCAGATAAATAGATCATACTAGAATTTTTTTTAGTGAAGTAGAGCTCATGGAGTTGACGTAACTTTAGTAGATCACCTGTGCTATTCCGGTACTTCCTGACAGATATTGATAGGTATATTATTGTATTCAAGTGGTGTTAGTACATTGATGTATTTGTGCCTTTGCAGCTGCAGGGATTTAGGGATCTTTGGTGAATGAAAAATCAAAGCAAACTCTACAGAAAATACAACTAAAAATTTGCTTTAGGCATTTTTAAAAGTTAATGCAAGGGTATTTGGAATGCCCAATACCAGGTAAATGCAGTGAATGCAGTACAAAGTGTGAACATAGTTTGTTCGGGAATTATGTTTCAGGTGACGGAAAGAATACACAAGGTAGGAGGACCAACTTATTGGCTTCTTTATGCCAAGTTCATCTTTGGCATCTAGCATTGTTGTGGGCACTGGAGGAGACATTGATCATTGGATGGTCAGTTGCACTGCCAAGGGCAGTGCCAGAATTTGTTTTTTAATGTTTTAATTTTAATACAGCGACAGGCTCCTGAAGCCAAGTACAGTCATTTTCTGCGTCTTCTAAATCTGTACTCTCAGGTACAAGACACACAACTTGCCAAGCTATTGAAATTATTCCGATTCTACAAGATTAGCCAAGCTCAGGGAAGCATCCTTCCAATGATTCATGATAAACTGCACTTGTGCCAGCAGTAACAGTCTAGCAAACATTGTGCTCCTCATGTCTGTTTGGTATTGCATCTGATAAATCTGTTATTTTCCACCTTGAGATGGTTTGTGATGTGAATGTACAACAAGATGAATATTCAAGCTTGTAATGATGATTTGAACAGTCTTTGTTACTAATCAAGCTCTTTTCCTAATATTCTATATTTTATGTCATAGAATGTATAGAATAAAAAATCTCTAATTTTTTTACGCACAAGTCTGATTGCTTGTTTCTATGAATTTCAGAATTATTTTTCACGTGGAGGAGCTCAGTTCGTTGGGATGATCATCAGTCCATATAATAGAAGTAACTCCTTGCCTTATTCCCAGGTGACATGTCTTATAGTTAGTGATGAACTCAGCACAGATGGCCGTTTCCGTAAGTATTGGTAATTAAAAACTTTCTATTTAATATTTATCAGGCAGGCAAAACATTATGCGACCTTCCCTCTTGCTCTTCATCCTCTTCCTCCACTGGAATATTTCAATCTGGACTTAATGCAGACACTGAATTTCTATTTTTCACAAACATAGGGACCTGTGAATTTAGAGCAAAAGTAGGCCATTTCGCCCCTGGACCCATTCAGTAAGATCACGGTTGAGCTCACAGAAGTTCCAAACTAGCGCAACCACTTGGGAGAAAAAAATTCTTCTCATCTCTGCCCTAAAAAGATAACTTTGATTTTAAACCATACCCCCAAATTCTGAACTCAACCAAAGGGGAAACTTTGTTTCCACATTTGCCTTGTTGAACTGTTCAGATTCTTATGTACTTCAGTCAAGTCTCCCTCTTCTAAGCTTCACTGAAAACAGGCCCAGACTGTCCAACGTTCCTCATAGGACACCCCATTCTATCTGGGAATCAATCTAGTAAACCTCCTGTGAATGCTCCCCTCTCCTCCTACTCCATGCGTTTTCAGTCATACTTAAATGAAGAGATCAAAGCTACATACTGTATTTGAGATATGTTCTCACAAATACCCTTTATAACTGAAGCATAACACCCTTACTTTTATGTTCAACTCTTTTCATAATGGGGGTAATATTTCATTAGCCAACTTAATTGCTTGTTGTGTGTGCATAATAATCTTCTGTGAGTCAAGCATGAAGACACCTAGATTCCTGTGCACGTCAAAATTTTGAAGTTGTTCTTCATTTAGAGAATATTTTTTAAAAATTCTTCCTGCCGCAATGAACAGTTTCTCTTTTTCCCATATTATATTCCGTCTGCCAGATTTTTGCCCACTCACTCAAGTTATTATATCAATCTACAAACTCCTGTGCCGCCTTCTGTGCGTGTTTTCTACTTCGCACAATATCCTTTTATGTGGAACCGTGACTTCCCTTCCTGAAAACCATGATTACCTTGGATTTTTCCTAGTTGTAACCTCCTTAAGATTATGACACTTTCCCATGATAGATGTTAAGCTAATTAGTTTCCTTCCTTCTGCATCCCTCCCTTCTTGAATAGAGAGGTTACTACTTTGCAGTATCTAGCTAATTTTGGAAAATTAATACTAATGAATCTACTACCCCGTAAGCCACCTCTTTTAAAAGTCTGGGGTGAAGTCCATCAGAACCCAGGTATATGTTACCACACAGCTCCATCAATTTGTTCAGCACAGCTTCCCTAGAGATTGTAATTTCTAGTCCCTCACTTCCATCTCCTCCTTTACAGCTATTACTGGGATTTTTTTTCTGTATGACGAAGACGGAAGCAAAATTTGTTCATTTCATCTGCTATTTCTTTATAATCTACTATCCTATTCTCACCCTCTGGAGGACCAACATTCACTTTACTTACTCTTTTCCTTTTCAGATAACTAACAACATGTGTTACCTGTTTTTACATTCCCAGCTAGCTCCCTGACATATTTTAATTTCTTGCTCTTGATTAACCTTTGTCGTCTTCCTCTTCTGTTCTTTATATTTTGACCAATCATCTGACTTGCCACTTACCTTTGTACAATTAAATGCTTTTTTTCCTCAACTTTGATGCTTTCCTGACCTACTTTAGTTAACCACAGGGTGTGGGACCTCCCTTGGACTTTTGCTTTGTTGTAGGAGTATCCTTATTCTGAGTATTTTGAAATAGCCCCTTAAATGTCTGCCACTGCTTCTCTATTGACCTATGTCCTATCTTAGTATTACAGTTCACTTCAGTTAACTCTGTTTTCATGCCAACTTGGTTGCCATTAGTTAAATTTAAAATATTAGTCATAAATCCAATCTTTTGCCTTTCAAACTGGTTGTAAAATTCAGTCTTACTGTGATCACTGATGCCTGTAGGTGTCTTCATACGAAGGTCATTAATTAATCCTGTCTCATTGCACAATACCAAAATCTGGTTGTGTCCAGAATAGATTGCTCCAAAAAACCAGCTCTCAAACTGGCTACTGTTCCAAGCTAGTGTTATCAATCTGATTTATCTGGTTTAAATATACAACTCAATATTATTTCCATCTGTTTATCACAAACACTTAGTATTTCTTCTTGTATATTTTATCATACATAGTGGTTATTTTTAGGGAGCCTTTAGACAATTCCACTAGTGACTTATTTCCCCAGCTATTCTTCGTCTCCACCCAAACCAATTCTACATATTGATCTCCTGACCTAAGGTCCTGTCATAACTATTGTACTACTGCCATGTTTGATTAAGAGTCCTACTCCTCCACCTTTGCCTAACTTCCTATTCTTCTTGAGTGCCGTATACCTCTCAATATTCAGAACTTAGCCTTGCTATCTTGCACCCATGACTCCGTGATGGCTTTGAGATCTTACCTAATCTTCAAAGTATGCTATCAATTTGTTGACTGTGTTACAATTTTTTGAGGTCGAATTTTTTGAGGAGGTAACCAGAAGGGTTGATGAGGGTAATGCATTTGGTGTCGTCGACATGGAGTTTAACAATGCTTTTGATACGGTCCCTCTTGGCAGATTAGTAAAGAATAAGCTGGGATTGTTTTCCTTGGGGAAGCGAATGTTGAAAGGGGACTTGATCGAACAGTATAAGATTATGAGCAACAGAGGTGGAGTGGATAGGAAGGCAGTTATCCATTAGTAAAAGAATCAATAGTCAACAGCCATAAATTTAAAGGTAAGATACAGAAGGCAAAGAGGAACATTCAGGAGAATCTTTTACCCAAGAGGAGGTGGGAATCTGAAACTCACTGTCTGAAAGGGTGGTTGAGTCAGAAATTCTCATAACATTTAAGCAGTATTTGGATATTCACTTGCATCAATATAGCCTCCAGATGATATGCTATATCTACTCAATCTTGATCCCTCAGCCCTCCGTGCATACCTTTAGGCACACACAAACAGGAGTAGATCATGTAGCCCCTCGAACCTGTTGCACAGTTGAATAAAATCGTATCTGATCTGCTAGTGCTCTATATCTTTTAGTGCCTATGGTTGACTAAAGTCGATCTGCCCAAGATTTAAAATTATCAATGGTTCTTGCACCAACTGACAATTGCAGAAGAGTAGCCCAATTTTCTGCTACCCTTTGCACATAGATGTATTTAATAATTCCACTCCTGGAAGGCCTGGCTATAGTTCGTAGACTGTGCCTCCAGTCCTAGACTCCCCAGCCAGCGGAAATAGTTTCTTCCCATCTACCCCATCTATTGTTGTTAATACCTTGAAATGTTATCAAAACACCCCCATACCTTCTGAATCCCAGGAAAGTCCTGTTTGTGTAATTCCTCAAAATTCAACTTCTGGATTCCAGGTATAATTCTGGAAAATTCTATGTTGCCCTCCCTCTGAAATCAATATATATGTCCTCAGTTGCAAGGCCCAGATCTCTTTGCAGTACTCCAGATGTGGTCTAACAGAATTTTGTTTTGCCAGACATCACTGTTACACCCTGCTAATTCAACCCTCAAGATGAACATTTCATTAGACTTTTTTTGTTTATTATCAGTCCCTGTCTTGGACATTTAATGATCTTTGTGCATAGAGCCTATGGCCTGGTTTTTCATAGATTGGAAAGCCTCTCTTTTTTTCTGAGGAATGAGGGCAATTTGCTTTTCACGAAGGCGGCTAGCTATTTAAATTTATAGCTGCTTTCTCCCAAGTCACATTTTGGTTAATTGGGAATGTGAAACCTGGGGGCAAAAGCAGGTTTGAACTTTGTGCATTTCTTTGGATAGCCAGCGTATCCCTTTGAGTTTGGCTCCGGGAGAACTTTGGGGACATGTTTTGCTCTTTGGGTAGGTAAAGTTCCCTTGAAATGGTTAAAATTAAGCATGAATGTGCATAATGAATGCATAAACTCATTAACTTACAAGCTCATTAGAATAGTCAATGGACCTGTCATAAACCACTGTCAAAATTGTCAGGAGGATTTGTCTAGGCAATTTTAAAGTGTTGCCCTTTACGTTGTTTCTAAAAAATTGGTTATTTGTTATTTCACTCTACCTGTTGACATACATCTAAGAGTTTCCATTTCTGGGTTACATTACTAATTTCACAACCATCCATTATTGCAGTAGGTTGCTTACCATTCCACAGTTTGATTGATAGCTCCAAGTGGTTCCAGACTCTTTGAAGTAAGCTAATGAATTTTGTGCTGCTTATTATAAGGGACTATGCATGTAAACAAAATGTTTGTTCTTATAAGGCAGTATGTTGTTGAAGGAATAAAAGTGTAAATGGGTATTATGAATGAGAGTTTTTTCAGTATAGTGAAACCTGCAATAGATATTTAACATTTGATTTTATTTAAACTTTGTAAGGGTCCTGGGGTCTTCCGATGACACATGCTAGGTAAGCTGACAATATAGGTGTAAGGGTGAAGGATAGGGGGTAATAGATTAATGTAACACTCAGTTGGCATAGGAACCATAAAGGGCCATGGGTAGGTAGAGGATGTAGTTTGGATTGACATGGGTGTGGCATGGTGAAGGTTGAGGGCTAGAGAGAGGTTTATGTTTTATTCTTCTAAAATTTTGGACACATTATTACTGCTCACTGTCTGCTACTGCTCAGCCAACTTTATGTATCATTAATTTGTCTTTGATTTCATGAACTTCAACATTAACTCGTTCACTTACGAGGGGTTTTATCAAATATCTTTTGAAGTTCAGATAATTACCATTTTTAAACCTGTCCTGTCCACTATTATAATTACCCTTTCAAAGTATTCTGCCATGTTTGGCAGTTTTGACTTATTCTTTATAAATCCAGCTGACTCTGGCTGAAAATTTTCAGCCACTTCTTTATATAGACTTTTTGGAACTTCCTGATAACGGATCTTAAGTTGACTGGACTATAATTCCTCGGTTTACTTCTCTTGTCTTCCTTAAATAACAAAATGAAGTGTGAATTTCCAACCTATATACACAATTCCTCAATTAAAAGTATTTTGAAAGTTTATAGTTAGGTTATCTGCAATGTTCTCAGCTACTTCTCCTAAAATGCTAATTTGGAAATCATCTGATCCAGGTGGTTTAACACTTTTTAGAAACATTATTTTCTGTTTTGCTGTTATTTTGCTGACAGTAATTTTCATAAGTTCCCATGTCAACTTTAATATTAGTTTACTTGGATCTTGAAATGCACCAGGGTTCTTTTAAAATCATCTTCAGATCCCATGACCTATAGCAACTAGAAGGGCAAAAATGCAAACAGCATCTGCAAGTTCTCCTCCAAGTCACACACCATCCTGTCTTGGAGCTGTCATTGGGTCAAAATCTGGAATTCCCTTACAACAGAGCTCTGGGTGTACCTATCCCCCAGTCAGTTGTAGGGTTCAAGAAAAGAGATCACCATTACCTTTTCAAGGGCACTTTGTCATGGTCTATAAATGTTGACCTAGCCAGCGATACCCACGTCCTGTGAATTAATTTTGAAAAATCTGTTTAAGATTTACATTTCAGTCAATGTAGCTGTCAAAGTAACCATTCTCCCTTAGTTTAATTTAAGCAAAATTCTTTAGTAGAAGATTTCTAATAATGTTTTCCAATATGTTGGATGTAGAGCCATTATTAAACTTGTGTATTTTTGTCACACAGGACTTCCATATAAGTGTGAGTTGAAGCAAATGAATGAAGAGCCTCTTTGGGTGCAAATGATAGATAAAGCACGCTGGATAATGGAGAAGTATAAGCTATCCCTCAGGCAAGTAATAAAATGCAGTTTGTTAATTTAGAAAAGCGATTTCATCATCAGTGTCCTGTTTCTTGTGGCTGTTTGTCTTAATTGGCAATGATCTCATTCTATGCAACAGAATGATTTAAAATTGTGGCATTTTATTCTGTTACATATTACTTTTCTTTGTGTGCATCCCAAATTCAGCAATATGCTCAACTTTCTCTTCTCCTCTTTAATTACCGATGCCTATATCCAGATATGTAGTGTTATTATGTTTTAAATAGCTGCTTCCACTGGCTTAGCCCTCATTAGTTCAGCAGTGTTTTTGAACATTTATTTTGCTTATCTTCTCATGTTTGGACTTTGCTGGTAAGTTTTTTTTTTTGTGTGCATATCTAGCTGATAAAAACTTATTTATTCAGGCTTGTGGTTTTAAAAAACATCGAAAATTTCAGGCATGGAAATAGGAAGCTAGGTACTTTGTGTCTATGCCAATGAAACAAAAGCTGTTCACTCAAATTTCACTTTCCAGCTTTGGGCTCATAATCCTGCAATTATGACAGGTTAACTGCTTATCTAACTATTTCTAAATATAATGAAGTTTTCTTCTTTTCTCACCCTTTTGGACAGTGATTTCCAGACACCTTCTGCCCTTTGCATTAAAACATTACTTCTCAACTTCTCCCTGAATTTTATGCCAGTGCCTGTAAAGCTATGACCCTGATTATTGACTTCTGTTAAGGAAAACAGGTTTACCCAATCCATTTTAGGCTGTTCATGACCTTATACACCTGAATTCAATTTCCCCTCAGCCTCCACTGATCTGAATAAAACACCCCCAGACTATCCTCATGGTTGAAGTTTTCCATTTCTAGCATCATCTCTGTAAGATCTCTTTTATACCTTATCTAGTGTGATCGCAGCCTTTCTATAATATATTAATCAGAATTATACCCAGCATTCTAGCTGTGGCTGAACTAGTGGATAATGGTATAATGTACTTTATGCATGATCTCCCCTGAATATGCCTCTGCTAATAAAGAAAACTGTTTCTCAAGCCATCTCAACCGGCCTATCTAAATGTACGATTCTTTCAGGGATCTGTGGACATGCAGTCCAAGATTCCTTTGTTCCTCTAAACTTGTCAGTGTCCTAACATTTATTGTGGATCCTCTTATGTTATTTACCTTTCTCAACTACATTATTTCACACTTCTCCAGACTGCATATGTTTGTCTCTTTTTTTGTCCACTTCCCTAGCCAACTGACTTCTGCCTGCAGTCTACAACTTTCTTCATATTACCGACCAAGCAGCTAATTATTGTATCATCTGCAAACTTCTTAATCACTCCTACATTAAGTCTAAATGATTGTTGTATATCAGTAAATGAAAGCATCTCTGCACTGAGCTCTGCAGAACCCTAGTGGGAACAGCCTTCTAGTCACAAAAATATCCATTGACCATTAGGCAATGCTTCCTGCCACTGATCCAATATTGGATCCAATTTGTCACTCTCCTTTAGATCCTTGGATTATTTTTCTCACAAGTCAGTTATGTGTGATCGTGTCAAATATTTTGCTAAAAACCCATGCCTACTACAGCAACATGCTACCCTCATCAACCCTCCTTGTTAATTGACTCAACAAATTTAGATATGATCTTGCCTTTAAAAAAAAGCATACTGTCTGTCCTTGATTAACCTGTGGCATTTTAAATGACAATTTATATTGTCCTTAAGAATATTTTCTAATAAGCTGTTAATCACCAAAGTTAGGCCGACAGGCCTATAATTAATTGAACTATTTTTTTTAAACAGTAGTATAACATAAACAATCCTCCAAACCCCTGGCACTACAATCGCAACCATCTAGAGAGGTCTGGAAGATGATAGTCAGAGTTTCTGTTATTGCCTTCTTTGCATTTCTTAGCAGCATGGGAAGTATTTCATCCAGTCCTGACAGTTTATTGACTTTAAAAGATGCTAAATAACTTGATACTTATTTCTCTCTTACCGTTGTCTATTTCAGCAGAAAAAACTGATTCTATCTTTTCACTGCACTACATACATTGACAGATTTGTGCTGCAGTCTTGAATCAAAATAAACAGAATTCTCCACTAAGTTGGGGGTGGAGCATATAGTGATCACTTGTTAATTACAGAAGGCAATTTGATATATCTTAATTTTTTAATCTAGGGATCACAAAGTGTCTCTACTTCGGTGTCTAATTGCTTCTTAAAGGATTCTGGGTTTTTTATTGTCACTGCTTTCTCTGGAAGCCTATTCAATATGCTGGTCAGCCCTTGGCATTATCCATATTGAAGTTATGTTTTTAGTAGCTTAAACCTGTATTCCCTTGTCCAACTCTTTTTTTTGAAACTTAATTGATTGTAATGTTCTGTTGTATGTGCCAACACTAATATCTTCTGGCTTTATATTTCTCCAAAGCCTGCATGATTTAGTATGGATGAGTATGGCCACCTACTAGTCTAATGCCATAGAGTCATACAGCATGGAAATGGACCCTTCAGTCCAACCGCCCATGCCGACCAGATGTCCTACATAAATCTAGTTCCATTTGCCAGCATTTGGCCCATATCCCTCTAAACCCTTCCTCTTCATGAACCTATCCAGTTGCCTTTTAAATGTTGCAATTGTACCAGCCTCCACCACTTCCTCTGATAGCTCATTTCATACACGCACTACCCTCTGCGTGAAAAAGTTGCCCCTTAGGTCCCTTTTATATCTTTCCCCTCACACCTTAGACATATGCCCTCTAGTTTTGGACTCCCCCATCCTAGGGTAAAGACTTTGCCTATTTACCTTATCCATGCCCCTCATGATTTTATAAACCTCTATAAAGTCACCCCACAGCCTCTGACGCTTCAGGTTAAAATAGCCCCAGCCTATTTACCCTCTCCCTATTGCTCCAACCCTGGCAACATCTTGTAAATCAAGATCCTGTTGTATTCTGAGGTCGCCTTCTTCGCTGTCCACTGCACCTCCCAATTTTAGCGTCATCTGCAAACTTACTAACCATACCTCCTATGTTCACATCCAAATCGTTTATATGAGTGACAAAAAGCAATGGACCCAGCACTGATTCTTGTGGCACACCGCCAGTCACAGGCCTCCAGTCTGAAAAGCAACCCTCCACCAACACCCTCTTTTCTATCCCTTTGAGCCAGGTCTGTATCCAAATAGCCAGTTCTTCCTGTATTCCATGTGATCTAACTTTGCTAACCAGTCTACCATAAGAGCCTTGTTGAATGTCTTACTAAAGTCCATATAGATCGCATCCACTGCTCTGCCCTCATCAATCCTCTTACTACTTCAAAACAACTCAAATAAGTTAGTGAGACTCAATTTCCCAAGCACAAAGCCATGCATACTATTCATAATCAGTCCTTGCCTTTCCAAATACATGTAAATTCTGTCCCTCAGGATTCCCTTCCACAAGGGCAGCGCAGTGGTTCAATGGTTAACGCTCCTGCCTCACAGTGCCTGTGACCGGGTTCGATTCTAACCTCGGGCGACTGTCTGTGTGGAGTTTGCACATTCTCCCTATGTCTGCATGGGTTTCCTCCAGGTGTTCTGGTTTCTTCCCACAGTCCAAAGATGTGCAGGCTAGGTGGATTGGCCATGCTAAATTTCCCGTAGTGTTCAGGGATGTGTAGATTAGGGGGATAGGATGCTCCCAGGGTCAATGTGGACTTGTTGTGCCAAAGGGCCTGATTCCACACTGTAGGGATTCTATGAGCTTCTATTACCGATGTCAGGTTCACTGGCCTTTAGTTCCCTGGCTTGCGTGCATTTGGCCCATATCCCTCCAAACCTTTCCTATTCATGTGCTTATCCAAATGTCTTTTAAATATTGTAACTATACCAGAATTTACCACTTCCTGTCTCAGGTCATTCCACACAGTAACCACTCTCTGTGTAAAAACTTTACCCCATATCCTTTTTAAAACTTTCTCCTCTCTGCTTAATATGCCCCCAACTTTTGAACTCTCCCACCCGAAGGAAAAGACCCTTGGTATTCATCTTATCTCTGATCCTCATGACGTCCAAGGTGACCCCAATACTCCAGTGAAAAAAGTCCTAGGCTATCCAGCCCCTATTTATATCTCAAACTCTCTATTCCTGGCAACATCCTGGTAAATCTTTTCTAAACCCTCTACAATTTAATAATATATTTCCTATAGCAGGGCAACCTGAACTGCACACAGTACTCCACAAGAGGCCTCACTAATGTCCTGTACGACCTCAACATTACATCCTGTACCTAAAGGTCTCAGCAGTAAAGGCAAACGTGCCTTCTTAACCACCGTGTCTACCTGTGATGCAAATTTAAAAGAATTATGTAACTGAGCCCCTAGGCTGTCTCTGTTCTACAACACTACTCAGGGGCTTACCATTAATTGTATAAGTCTTGCTCATATTTGTTTTACCAAAATGTAATACCTTGCATCTATCCAAATTAAACGCCATCTGCCACTCTTCAGTCCATTGACCCAAATGATCAAGATCTCTCTGTAATCTTAGATAACCTTCACTGTCCACTATACCACCAATTTTGGTGTCATCTGCAAAATTACCAAGCATGCCTCCTATATTCTAATCCAAATCATTTATATAAATGACAGACAAAAGTGGACCCAGTAACATTCCATGTAGAACACCACTGGTCACTGGCCTGTAGTCCGAGAAACAATCCTCCACCACCACCTTCTGTTTCCTACTATCAAGCCAATTTTGTATCCAATTGGCGAGCTCACCCTGAATCCCATGTGATCAAACTTGGCTAATTAGTCTGCCAGGTAGTACCTTACCAAAGCTTTAGTAAAGTCCCTGTAAACAACGTCTATCACTCTGCCCTCATCAATCTTTTTGATTACTTCCTCAAAAAACTCAACCAAGTTTGTGAGACATGATTTCCCTCACACAAAACCATGCTGACTATCCCTAATCAGTCCTGCTTCTCAAATTCATATTAATCCTATCTTTTAGAATCCTTGTCCACAACTT